AACACTCAGAGAGCACCAAAGACTCCTTGATCCTCCTCCTCCCTATAAATCCCCTTCCCTCCTAACCCTGATGACGTTCCCTAGCCGGGCAACGCAACGTCCGCAAGAAACCCACCCAGCCCCCCAAGCTCGAAAAGCACCAAGGACCCCACTGTCCTCCTCCTCCTCCTCTCCACAAATCCTCCCAGCACTGATGTTGTTACCTAACTGGATAATGAACCGTCTGCCAAAAAAAAAGCAATCCAGTTCAGACAACACCTTGATCCTCCTCCTCCTCCTCCTCCTCCTAAATCCCACTCTCTCCTAGCATGCATCATGTTACCTAGCTGGGTCATAAAACGTCTGAAGAAAAAAAAAAAGGCAACCCAGCTCAAGAGAGCCCCAAAGACCCCCTTGGTCCTCCTCCTCCTCCCCACTCCCTCCTAACCCTGATGACGTTCCCTAGCCGGGCAACGCAACGTCTGCAAGAAACCCCCCCACTCCCCCCAAGCTCGGAAAGCACCAAGGACCCCCCTCCTTTTTCCACCCCGCAGCTGACACGGGGGGGGGCAAATCGGGGTGTGGCAAACCCCCCCCAGGAGTCTCGCCCCCCCCTCTCTCTCTCTCCCCTCCCCCGGGGGGGGAGGGTCTCCCAGCGCCCACCTACCTATGCCCAGCCCGACCACCAGGCGCCCCCCGAGCAGCGTCTCTTTATCCGGCGCGGCGGCCAGCAGGACGGCGCCGGCGGCGAAGAGCGAGCTGGCCAGGAGGATGCAGGCGCGGCGGCCGGCCCAGCCGTTGAGCACGCCGCCCAGCAGGGCCGCGAGGGCGGCGGCGCCCACCGTGCCGGAGACCAGCAGCTCCTGCCAGAAGGCGTCGAGGCGCAGCTCCTTCTTGAGCAGCAGCAGCGCCCCGGACACCACGCCGGTGTCGTAGCCGAAGAGGAAGCCGCCCAGCGCCGAGAAGGCCGACACCACGTAGACGAAGCCCGCCGTCTCGTCCTGCTGGAACTGCCGGCGGGCAGCCCGCTCCAGCTCGGCGCAGCCGCCTCCTCCGCCGCCGCCGGCCGAGGACTGGCTGTTCAGGCTGGAGCAAGACTCGGCGGCGGCGATCAGGCTCCGCTCGCCCAGGCTGGCCGAGCCTTTGCGCCTGGAAGGCGGCGGCGGCGGAGGAGGAGGCGGCGGAGGAGGCGGCCGGCGCCGCTTCTCCCCCATCAGGTTGCTCAGGCTCCGCAGCGTGTATTCCACATTGGCCTTGCGGGACATGGGGCCGCCGCTGCGGCTGCTGCTGCCCTCCGGCCGGACTGGCCTCCTCCTCCTCTTCCTCCTCCTCCTCCTGCGCGGGTTGCCTGCAGGGCGGCAGAGATGCCTCTCATGCTCCGGCCACGCTCGGACTGAAGCGGGGAGGAGCGGCGCGGTCCCCCCACGTCTGCTCGCCGCCGCGGGCGCCGCCCTCTCCCGCCCCGCGGGCTGGAGCAGGAGGGGAAAAAGAGAGGCGCCGTCCGCGGTGATTGGTCGGAAGGGAGGATGGGCGGAGTCGAAGGGGAAGGGGAGGAGACACCGGGAGGGTCTTTTTGTCTCCTCCCCCCTTTTGCCCCGCCGGTTTGGGAAAGGGAAAAAGAATAATAATTCGATAAGCTGATCGAGGGTACTCGGGTTGCGTTTTTGTTTCTTGCCCGCGTTGCCTGTTGTTGGTGTGGTGGTGGTGTGGGTTTCGTTCTTTCGCGACCTGTGAGAAGGCGGCCCGAGGAGGTGAGAAGGGATAATAATAATAATAATAATAATAATAATAATAATAATAATAATAATAATAATAATAATAATAATAATAATAATAATAATAATAATAATAAAGGATCGTAATAGGGGTGGAATAATAAGGAAAACCCTTTCTTTTTCGTCTCTCTATGGAGCGTGCGGCTGGGCATGCGCGGTGAGCGCTGGTGAAGCTGGTGGGTGGGCCTCGCGTGCCAGTTCTTCCCTTTTTCTGATTGAGAAGCTTCTGTGGAATAGAATAGAATAGAATAGAATAGATATTGGAATATAGAATAGAATAGAATAGAAAATATGGAATAGAATAGAATAGAATAGAAAATATGGAATAGAATGGAATGGAAGTGAAGAATAGAATAGAATAGAATAGAATAGAATAGAATAGAATAGAATAGAATAGAATAGAATAGAATAGAATAGATATTGGAATATAGAATAGAATAGAATAGAAAATATGGAATAGAATAGAACAGAATAGAATAGAATAGATATTGGAATATAGAATAGAATAGAATAGAATATAGAATAGAATAGAATAGAATAGATATTGGAATATAGAATAGAATAGAATAGAATAGAATAGAAAATATGGAATGGAATGGAATAGAATAGAATAGATATTGAAATATAGAATAGAATAGAATAGAATTCTTTATTGGCCAAGTGTGGCTGGACACACAAGGAATTTGTCTCCAGTGCCTAAGTTTCAGTATACATACAAGTAATAGTGATAAATCATGATCATAAACAACATAAAAATACATTCATATAAATAACAATTGGAACCTTCCTGCATGTGTATGTTTGTAACACACGTACATGTACACATCTCATAACAGTTACTAAATATTATATTAAATGGTCAGGAGAAGAAAGTTCCTTACATTAATTCCAATTTTTTTTTAACATAAGCAGAAGTTTTGAAATATGATCTGATATGAAAACTCCTATATTTTACTAAATCTGCTGTATGGAATCTTTTTACCTGTCTTAATTTCCTATACATTAACTAATCTTTGTGCAGTAAAATTCTGCTCTTATCTGTTCCACAGTCAGAAGGGGATAAAAACAGGCGTGAGCACAAAAAGGGAATCCTTACTCAAGCAAATAGTGTTGTGATTGCACCTCATAATATGCCCAGGTTGTTAAACACGGCTTGTTGAAGAAAAGAAGTCGAATTTGCATACCGTACTAAGTTAAGTTTTGTCTAAACTCGTTACATAGAATGAATCCCTAACAATTGGGTTGCATGATATGCCAAGTCATAAATCATGGTTATTAAATCACTTCAGCATGATTCACCAAAAACAAACATATATTTCAATGCAACATGCAAACCCAATCAGTAAGTCTATTTTGAACTAGAGATTCTAAAAGGGAACTGTAACCATATATTTTTTTTCTTTTCTTTTTTTCTAGCCAACATGGAAGCGAATACAGATAGTCCTCAACTTACGACAGTTCATTTTAGTGACTGCTCAAAGTTACAACGGCACTGGAAAAAGTGAGTTATGATCATTTTTCACACTTGATCACATGATTTACATTCAGATGCTTGGCAATCAGTTCCTATTTATGACGGTTACAAAGTCCCACGATCCCCTTTTTGCGACTTTGTGACAAACCAAGTCAATGAGGAAGCCAGATTCGCTTAACGACCATCTTACGAACTCTAACACCTGCAGTGATTGAGTTCACAGCTGTGGCAGGAAAAGTCATAAAAACAGGGCAAAACTCACTTAACAAATGATTTGGTCGTAACTTGAGGACGACCTATACTGCTAGCAAAACCGATTGGTCGCTTTCTGGCATTTTGCCTGACCGTTTCTGACACGTTCTGTGTCCCTCAGTTGAGTCTGAAAGGCTGATTCTGATCGTCTGGGGAGTCGTACACTTCCAGTGGCTTTTACGAATGTTATTTTCCCATGTATTATTCATTCAGCCAACTAAGAAGGCTTCAGTTTACGAACAAGCAGGCAGCGGCCCATCGCTAATTATTTTAGCAGGATCATCAGATCATGGTCGTCAGCAAACAACCCGTTAATTTACCACCAATAAATTCAGAAGGAATACCACTAGAAAAAGTGGAAAGGATCACGCACCTCGGTTCCAATTTACACGAAAGCTGGGACATGACCGTTGAAGTAAAGACAAGGATAGAGAAAGCTCCAACAGCATTCTTCAAAATGAAAAAGGTCTTCTGCAGTCACGACATAAGCCTAAGACTGAAAATCAGGCTTGTCAGATGCTGTATTTTTTCTATCCTGCTCTATGGAGTAGAGAGTTGGTCTCTGACAGAAGGCCACCTGAAGAGACTAGAAGCATTTGAAATGTGGATTTACAGATGGCGGCTGTTACGTATTAATAATAATAATAATGATAAAGTTGGAAGGGACCTTGGAGGTCATCTAGTCCAACCCCCTGCTCAGGCAGGAAACCCTATACCATTTCGGACAAATGGCTGTCCAGTTTCTTCTTAAAAACTTCCAGTGTTGGCGCGTTCACCGCTTCTGGAGGCAGGTTGTTCTACTGGTTAATTGTTCTAACTGTCAGGAAGTTTCTCCTTAGTTCTAGATTGCTTCTCTCTTTGGTTAGTTTCCACCCGTTGCTTCTTGTCCTGCCTTCAGGCGCTTTGGGAAATAGCTTGACTCCCTCTTCTTTGTGGCAGCCCCTGAGATATTGGAATACTGCTATCATGTCCCCCCTCGTCCTTCTCTTCGTATAAGCTGGGTTGACAAGATCAGAAATGAGGCGGTGATAAGCCGCCTGGGAAAGCCGAGGGAAATCATCAAAACAATTAAAAAACGAAAATTAGAATATTTCGGACATGTGACGCGACACCCAGAAAAATACGGCATACTCCATTTAATCCTCCAGGGAAAGATTGAAGGCAAACGAGGTCCAGGCAGAAGAAGAACATCGTGGCTTCAAAATCTAAGAGACTGGTTTGGACAAAACTCAGCAGCACTTTTTCGTGCGGCTGCTGATAAAAACAGGATCGCCAACATGATCGCCAACGTCCGATAACGGATATGGCACAAGAAGAAGAAGAAGAAGAAGACTCCCCCCCCAAGAAGTGACCTGCGGTAGACCCAATAAAACAATTTAGAATCTCATTGTTTCCGTAAATCCTTTAATCTTTTCCTTATGAGTTAGCATTACCAAGGATTACACCGTGCGTATCGTTACTACTTTTTAATTCCCTGGCCTTGTTTTTTGTTTTGTTTTTTTTGGTTTAACTGGTAGTAACAGACCATTTGTGATAAATCTCCGATAGCCTTTCCGTGCCTTTTCTACCAGCGCAGTTATTCAGCAGGATTTTAAACACGCAAATCCCAGGAAGATAATGCTAGCAATATTTGTTCTCACCAGCAGGCATCGGGAGATTAGCAATTGTATCAGAATTATGTATTATGCCTGCAACTGTAAAATAATCACGTAGTAAACCGACGAAGGATTTCTTGGTGGTGGGCTCAAAGCTTTTCTGCAAAGACGTGCCAAAAGAGAGTGGGATGCATTTCACAGGCCGGCATTATTGTAATATAATGCACGAAAGATCAAATAAATGTGGATAATAGAATCGTGCTTAGTAATTGCTTTCGAAAACAAAGCTCCAGCACAAATTTTTCGACCAGAACAAAAGAAGCGTTCGCGTGTTTTTTATAAAAACCTAACAGCGATTGTGTTTGGATGAATTGTTCAGTTCCTGCAGGGCCAAATCAAATATCTATAAGGACCCCACAGCTAGAGTTATGAAAGTACTAATGTAGTCGTGATAGGGAATTATTAGTTGCCTCATCTTGTGAGTTTAAATATATATATAAAAAAATCCATTAAAAGCTACCAAGCTGGGACTTTCACTTGTAGGAGCCCCTGTTATGATTTCATAGGACTATAGCAGTGGTGGTGAACCTTTTAGAGACCGAGTGCCCAAAAACTGGCCCTGCCCCCACTCCATCCCTGCCCCGCCCCCACCTCACCTGCCCGCAGGGCCACTCAATACCTCCAGGACCCACCGCAGATTGCCCAGGCAGCCCAGCAGCACCATTGCGGCCATGCCCTTGGCCCGCGCCCTGCAGCATCAACTGTGTGTGATGGGGTGTGAAGGCAGAGTCTTGCCTACGCTGCCTGGCTGCCATGTCCTTGGCTGCGCTGCTCTGTGTGGGCCACGCTCGGGGGCGACTCTCCTCCAGGGGGGCTGCTGGTGAGGAGTCACGGGAGGAGGCGAGGCTGGGGCAACGGCACGTGTGCCCACAGAGAGGGCTCCGAGTGCCGCCTCTGGCACGCATGCCATTGGTTCGCCACCACTGGACTATAGAGTTGGAAGAGGTTGTCAACTTAAATCTGAATTAAAACTTCACCTACAAATGGCCCTTGACCCTTTGTCTTTGAATAGATCCACGGAAGGGGTGGGAAGGAGAGAGGAGGGTAATGTAGTGTAGTATAAGGGATAGTAGGGGAGGGAAAGGAAAGGGAAAGAGGAAAGGGAAGGG